TTTCCTAACAGGGAAACACTCCCCATTTCTACAACATAAGGCAGCTTGATGAATTCGCCCCTGTGGACAGGGGGAAACATTTACAGGCGATAATTCTTTCATCACTGTAATATCTTGGCAGGTTTAGTTGTATGGTTGATAGAGGCACCACCCTAGAGTTTAATGTAAGGATGTTTTTTTTCCATCTACTAGTTCTAAAAAAAAATGTATGCTCTCTTTTTACATCATCTTTATAAGTATGGAAAGAACCTGTTTACATTGGAAATTGAGAAAAAAAAGCAGACTAAAATAAACTTTGCTGTCTTATTGCGTCTTTTCCCAACTGTTAAACTTCAATCAATTACTTCAATTTTCAGAGTGCTTGGTGGTTTAAAAGAAAAGCTTATGTATTTGTGGTAGCAAAAGTGCTTTTAAAAAGTTAAATATTTGCACCATCTGGTTTTATCATTTAATTTTATAGGCAAACTAAATCATTAGGGGAGCTTTGTCTCTGCCATTATGTTAATTTTTTTTTTTCCACCCTGTTTCACCTTACTGAAATAATATTCCTCTAATATATATACAGTGCATTTGAATTAAAGTGTTGTATACATTTTGACAACAGAAGCTTTGAGTTTGTTTTATACCAATCCATTTACCAAACATCAGCACTTCAGCTCTTTTTAAACCTTTTTTTTGCTGGTAAAAGTAGCTGTGGCTGTGCAAGAGGATGCTTTTATTTCAATTTGCAATTGTAATTTGGTGCCCACTAACACAGGAAAGGATCTGACCTGAGTTTAGAGTACTTAAAGTATTTAGGGAAAAAAAATATAATTTGTAAAATTGGTTTTCGTAATGTAGCTGGTATAAGAGTTGTTTTTTTTTCTTCTTCTTCTTTATAGTCACCATTGTATTATTTTGGGGGGGAAAACAACAAACAGCCTACATCGGTCTTTACTTTACAAAAAGCATGACAGCCTTTGTTTACTGCAAACAGTAGAAACTCATCTCTTCCTCTCTGTCTCTCAAAAACAGCTTTGAAGTGTTTAAAATCAGACTTAGTGTATCAAGAAGAACCTTGTGGCAACAGCCACGATGGTCCACTTGTGAAAGCAAATCTGCTGGGCTGTTATCCAACACTGGGACATCAATTCTCTGTGCTGTTTTGGCAAACATGACACATAAAATAAAACTAAAAAGAGACTTAGTGTATCTCCAGAAAAGATTAGACTGGGAAAAGACTGGAAAAGGCCTGGTACATTCAGGGTAACAACCCGAGGCTAGGGATGGACAAAATGCATGTAACATTTTAATATAGCCATTTTGTGAAAACAGTAATTGAAACTATACAGTAAAAGTTCACAAAAGCCTCACAAAAACAAATACTGCTTTTAAAATAAAACTTGATTGTGATTATATACACTAAGTATATCCATTCTAGCATTTACTTCAAATGTACCACTTGACATTAAAATACTTACATTAAATAAAATGTCCCTATACTTTTATAAATGTTAAATGTCTCATGGAACCAACTGCATAAAAACAGCAGCCAATTTTACAACTCTAACCATACTGTTTTTCGGTTCACGAACTCAGAAGATGTTATTTTCTGATAATTATAAATTATCCGATAATAGCTTTTCCGAACCTGAGTATACCCTGTTTAGTAATGAATGAATGAGTATGACCTACAGGATGAAAATACTGGGAAAAACGCTGTGGTCTAACTAAGGATTTTCTAGGAAAATTTGAAACATTGTAACTTTTGGTCTATCTTGAAATTTGTTGTTAAACCCAGGGGTTGTATGACCAATTTGGGCAAATATTTTCTTATGAATACCTTGTTTTATTTAGTTCACATATTTGTATGTAAAACAGGGAACATTTTTGAACTGATTGTAATTCCATTTCTTGTCTCTTTCTACAACAAAACTCTCACTCAAAGGGCTGTTTAATTCATATTATCCCATTTCTCACATGCATGAGGCACTTTACATAGTTAATTCATTCAAATCAGAGGTTCGTTAAAAAGGGTTTCCATAAGAAAACTTAACAGATTGCATTGCCTCATGTGGAATTAACTTGTCCTGAATGAGTATGTAGCTTTAGTGACAAGGAAAACTCCCCTTTAACAGAAATAAACTTCCAGCACAACGAGGCTTAATGTTAATGATTTTTTATTCCATGACTGAGCAGACAGAGCATACACATAGAACGGACACATAAACACTGATCCAGGAGTGCTATCTACTGTATTCATGAGAAAAGTTCATGTTTATTTGCAGAAGTAGCTTCTTTAGCAGCTTAATCTTGGAGAGAAACACAGTTAAACAGATCAGCTCTGAGCCAGTATTTAAGTCTACAAACTAAAAGAGAGCACTTACAGTTACACCTACAGAGCTCACAGGTGGAGCAATCCTTGTACAGTCATCCCTCTCAGCTACACTCAGAGCTCTGTAGATGTTCTCCCTCTCTGAATACTAATTACAAATAAATCTTTCATGTCAGTGATGTCTTTTTCTGTTGCCTCTTTGTGGTTTGCTTAGGTTATACAATTAAAAACCTGCTGAATCTGCTTATATTTTTTTTCTTTTCAACAACACTGTATTTCTAACCTGCAAAGACAGTGCTGGGTAAAGGCATTGAAGACTTAAAAGAATGGATTTTCCACACATTTATTCAGTGAAGCAATAGTCTTTTGATCAAAAGAAGAGCTTCCAAATGTTATCACAAAGCTCCAATTAATACAGCTAGAAACCATCAATCAGGCTCTAAATATGGATGTAATGATGGACTCAGACATGAACCTTCAAATGCACATTGTGATGGCAACAAATATTACCTTCTATCACCTAAAGAAAACCCCCAGGATTATATAACTAAATTCTCAGCAGGACCTTGAAAAACCCCTTTATGTGGTTTAGTAGATTGGATTGATTCCTGCAACAGCATCTTCACTTAGGTCTTCCTAAAAAGTTGATTAGACAGCTGCAGCTGATCCAGAATTCTGCTGCACGTGTCCTCACCGCACCCAAAAAAGTGGAGCATGTCCCCCAGTGCCAAAACTGTTACACAAGCTAACCATATCTCAGAAAATAGCCTCTAAAATACTTGTTATATTTCAAGTCACTGAAAGGCTTAGCTCCAAAATAGATTTCAGATTTGTTGTCAGTGGCTCGGGCTGCTTAGTGACGCAGTGGGTAGCACTGCTGTCTTGCAGCAAGAAGGTTTCCGGTTCGATTCCCAGACCAGGGTCTTTCTGCATGGAGTTTGCATGTTCTCCCTGAGCATGCGTGGGATTTCTCCGGGTACTCCGGCTTCCTCCCACAGTCCAAAACATGACTGTTAGGTTAATTGGCCTCTCCTGTTTGTCCTGTTTTTCTCTTTGTTGCCCTGCGATGGACTGGCGACCTGTCCAGGGTTGACCCCGCTTCTCATCCGTAGACAGCCGGAGATAGGAACCAGCACCTCTTGTGACCCCACTCAGGATTAAGCGTGTCAGAAAATGGATGGATGTCAGTGGCTCAACAGTGGCTTCTGTTGATCTCCTGCTCCATCTTCTCCTCATTTGTGAAAAAAACATACAAATATACCTAATTTGTTACCTAATTTGTCATTTTCTTTTAGAACAGCTAATATATACTTCTGTAAAAAAAAGTACATTAGTAGTGGTATTTGGGCTTCTGCTTGGTTGAGTTTAAATTGCCATGGACTTAATCCTTCAGTATGGGTTGTTCTGTTTGTTGTTTCATAAATATACAACTGACTTGTAACATAAGATAGAAAAGGCTCTCTGGCACCTCTCAACAATAGGCTGTGTCTGTCAAGATAAAGTTTTAAAACACCCTGTCCATAAGTTTTAGTAGGGAAAAATAGCAGCACTCCCTTGGCATCCCATTTATCCAGCATATCTTGTTTTTCAGTGAGGGGCACTGCATTACTCTGTAGCTCTAAGGCTGGTTGCAGAAAGGGAGGAGGAGATGAAAAAGGGGTTGACAGAAGGTTGTGACTGTTCCTGTTGCTACTGCTGCAGATGCTTTTCTTCTTATCCAGGGAGCAAACACAACATGCTGAGATTTAATCACCTTTATTATGTTTCAACTTGTCACAAAGTGAAGCGACTCAGAGAAATCACACAAAGACAGTGGGGCTGTCAGAGGAGTCACTGCTCACTTGTTTAACAACAAAAAAAAACACTTTGGTGTATTTGGTCACTGCACAAGAGCTAAGCTTCTCCCATCTGAAGCTGTTTAGTCTTTTTATTATGTGACCTTGATCAATATGTTAGCCATATTTAGATGTTTACCCAGAGCCTGCTGGCCTTACAGTATTTAACTATGTCAGTGTAATCCCTCTGAAGTCTTTGCTGTTTATTCTTGCCAAGGAGAGGTAATTCCTACCTCAAGCTGAAAGTGTTTTATATGAGTGGTTGGATTTCCTGCTTTTTCACATCACAGAACACCATCATGATGCAATTTAGTGCAATTAGAAGACAAAAAGATGGCAGGAACACAAAGAACATAATTTCATTTAATCTCTTTTAAGGAATCTCACAGCATATATCCCAAAGTGACAGACTTACTGGTTTATTACTTAGTATTATTGTACTTTTCAGAACCTTTCCTGTGTGGTCTGTATTATCATATAATACATACAAAGGATTGTACTGTTTTAGTAACTGTGTGAATTCCTCAAAGCGATGCACAGAAAGATTTCACACAGAACTTCATTTATGGAACAATTCATTCTTCAATCTGTAAGTGGTGTCTTGGATCGAAAAAGACAGTGTGCATTTGTGCATGTATGCGTGTCTATGTCTCTGCCCTCCTTCCACCCACCCCTGCTGATTTCCATGGTACATTTAGCTACATTTTGTGAAATGGTGCCAAGCCAGCACTTAATTAAGTGCTGGGATGCCAGCATCCCTCTGCTGTAACACGGAATACCTGATCCTCTTTTGTCAATTTCTTCTCCTGTTCTTGCGCTCCTCTGTGTCACTTCTGCTGTAACTCGAAAAGATGTCGCCTCTGGGAGATGCAGGTAAAGAAGCCATCAAAACCAATGCGAGTAGAGAGAGTTGCAATCAGTGCACAAAAAAAAGAATAGTTCTTTTGTGTGTATCTGTCCTCCTTTTCCCTTGTCTCACTTTGTTTCCCTCTGCACTAGTATGTGTGTAGTTATATATGTGTGTGCTTGAAGCTTCCAATTCAGTATAGGCTAGTTGTAATGTTGCTCTCCCACTAGAAATGGTTGCTGTTTGTTCAGTTGTTGTGATAGATTGATTTGGGGTGAGAAAAGATGGGCTTGTATGCACCTGTAGATAGGAACAGAAAGGTCTTTATGAGAAGCTAAAAGCTCTCATTTCAAGACTCCTCTGATGGAGAGGTATTTTTCTGGAGATTTTTCTTCCTTGTCTTTTACAAAAGCTTTCCAGTACATTTAGGCAGTTAGGCAAGAACATTCAAAACCCCAAAAGGGCACTTGTCAATCGTCCACCGCTGCTTACAGCAAAGTCCTTCTGAACAGCTTCAGCGAGCGGTCATTCTAATGGTCAATGGTTCTCAGCTTACACAGCATGTAAAATGAACACCTTTTAAAATAACAAAGCCCACATACAAACCGAATGTGTTAAATAGACTCACTGCCTTTTCCCTTCTCTAATACTTTTTTTTTTTTTTTATCATTCTATTATTCATGTTGGGTATTTATTAGGAAAAATGTGTTTTAATTGAAGTCTAATACTCAAAACACACAGTTCTTACCAAATTTAAATGCAATACATTATCTCAATTTGTGGGGGAGATAAAAGCTGATAAAAAAAAAAAGAAGCTGAAATGTTGTGGTCCTTGGGAAGCTGGAGCCCCTGGTCACTGTGTTTACATTAATTACAGGTCTCATCCCCATTAGGGTCAACTCAAATAAACAATGAGAGATTAGTGACCCAGATAAAGCCAAAACTACCAAGGTAGAAAATGCCAAAGGGATTAAAATGGCCAGCATTCCATTTCAATCCAGTTTCTGCCTTTATTTAATTTTAGATTTCCCAGTTCATCTTCTAAACCGTACCCCCTCCCCATCCCGTTTACTGAATTAAATGTGGTACAAGCTAAACACCCTCCAGAGACAGAGGCTCTGTTTTCCAAGCTTCTCTGATGGGTTAAAGGTGACTGTAAGTCCAGAAATGAGGCTAGAGCAGTTGGACTTGCAAATGATTGGCAGGGATAAATTGTGGATGATCTACTTTCATGTTTTTTTTTCTTTCAAACTGTCCCAATATTCCCCTTCAAATCATTTTGAATGTTATGTATGCTTGTTTTGAAAGGAAGTAAGCTTCGTAAGTCGTGCTCACAAAGTGTAGTGTAACCTGTGGACAGAATACAATGAGTGCATGGATAAGTAGTTATGACGTGTTTGGACACTCTGCCAGAACATGTTAGCTCTCATGATAGCATTCAGCATATAAACATGCATCGGCTAGAAGAAGCAGAGAGAATAAAGAACCTTTATTCAATTGTCTTACATCTTGAACTGTCTTCCTGTTGTTCCTTCTGTTCCCTCCCTCTTCCATCTCTCCTCCTGTGCACCATCTGCATGATGCTTTGTATCCAACCCCAAAGAAGGGAGCACTTGCTGTTCTCTACTGTGAATGTAGGATCATGTTTGCGCACACAGGTTTGTGCATGTCTCCTAGCCACCGTCTTCATTCTCAGCTCATTACCTGACATGATGGATGGAACAAGCACCATTAAACAACGCCCAGCCTCGGAAGCCTGGCACCTTACAGCAGAGCACTGAGTAATAGACATGTTGGCAACACCACACTCGGAAATACCAAGAGTCCTGTGTGGGTGTGCCTGCAGTCATCTCTGTAGCTCGACTTTTTGGCTCCATCCAAATCCACCTGCCACCTGGCTGCCCGAAGGATGTCATGGGCATTTCTGGGCAGCTGTGGTTGGATAGCAAAGGTGGAAAAGATTTTATGACTTTGTCATGAACATGGCAACAGAAAATACCAAAAGTACAACTGCTGCTTATTTCTGACCCCAAGGGAAATATTGTTTTTTCCTACAATGCCTGCTAAACCATTTAACCTTTTCACATTGTGATGTTGAAACCACATACTTAAATGTTAGCATTTGTTTGACAAACCAACACAAAGGATACCTGTTTTTTTTTTATTTCTCACAAGTAAATATCTTAAATCTGATATCATAAATAAAACCCAGTGCATCCAATGAATAAAAGTCAAATCAGAATAAGATTGTTATGTTATGTGTTAATTTGTCATGAAATTTGGTTAAGAAAAACCCATTGAAGAAACACAGTTCAACAGAATACAGTATATGAGGGACATGTGCCTGAGGCTGCAACCATTTAAATGTGCTGTTCTCGCATTAGAAAGATAATACTAGGGGGTCGATAAAAACAAGAAATGAAATACCATAACATTACCTTGCAGAGCACACCATGAGGTTGCAAAAATCCCTGCATGGTACACATGGGAACGGGGGAGGGACAGAATTAGGAAGAGGTGAAGGGAGGAGGGAGGTAAAGGGGTACAGGTAGGGAAATGTGAGGATGAGGCAAGCAAAATGGGGAACTTGAGAGCACATGTCTCTTTAGCCATGGGAGACTTTGGTAGTACATGTTTTCATAGGAGAATACGTCCATGAAACAGACCAGAGCTTCTCCCAGAGATAAAGATGCTATGCTTTGCCCAGTCTCCTCATGGAAAAAATTTGATCAATAGCGTTAAGAGACCAGCTGCCCAGATCCATAATTTCTAGTATTTGGAAGATATGCAAAGAAAGGCTCTCAAAAACAAGCAGTAAAACATGATAGATAAGGGAGGTTGAGAGAGGGGAGAAAAGTGGCTTCCTTTATGCTGAGAGAAGTTTCCATAATTAGAAACTTAAGTCCCCTTGTCAGTAATTTTATCTAGGCCTATATCTACATTTTTCCCACATACAAACTGTTGCAGCATCATACTGTACTTAAGAGATTTTTCCTCAGCCGACAAGGAAGCCTTATTAAGGAAATTATGTTGAAGTCATTTTACTGGGGCAGAAATTCATTTTCAAGCAGGTGAACAAGCTAAAACATGCAGACCGAGCATCCATGAACTGATTTGAAGCATACATGTCTCTCAATTGTCTCTCCACAGAAGGATGTGCAAAAACATCAGTCCCTAGATTTGCAAGTCTTACCAAAAAAGACTGTGTAGCTTTAATAAAGTGGTTTACCCCGGGTTGTTTATATGTTTAACCCTTAAGTATTAAGTTCACATAAGGGTTAAACATAATACATACATACACCTTTGGGTTTTTTGAGTTGGAAAAATTTATTCTTTGAGGACTACTTTGTGCTTGTCTGTATAATTGATTTCAAATTTAATAGTGTTGTTTGTGGTTGTAAGTTGAAAAAATGTAAGACATCCATGGTATCTATTTTGCAAATCAGTGGTAAAGGTGCCTGCAAGAGCAGCCTCAATTCAAATAATGTTTAGAGAAAACTTTTTTTTCCAAAGGGAGCCTCAGAGCTGGGTTTTTTCAAACGTCCCAAACATTTCCCGTTCACTATGATTAGAACAATTTGTTGCTCTGCATGCCTGAAAGGCAGGAACCTTCCCACAAACAGCTCTGACAATGATCAGATGCCTGTTGCACCTTTGGAAAATTCTGAGGACAGGTGGGAGGATCAACACAGTGCAGCTCTACATCTTAGATTTGATAGGTGCATGCTGACACTAATTACAAGCCCAAGCTAATGGGAAGCAAACTACATGTAGAAAATGTGACAGGCTATTCATCCTTGCTCTGGTTGGTTGTATGTCTCTGTGTGTTTCCTTTATTTGCTCTGTTTGTGTTGTATCTGATGTGAGAACACTTCCTGTAGGGTCTCTTTATAAAGAACTATGTTTAGGATATGAATGGAGTTACTATGACACCAAACAGGCACCTCCACTCCTTCAGCTTCTAGTGTCTCTTCTTCCTCCCATCCTTCTTCGCTCACAGTCAGCCTTGTTTCTCCTCCCCTAACTGTTCCTTCCCTCTTTTAGTTTCTCCTAAGCCTTTCATTTAGTTCAGCTTTTCTGCCAAAGATGGATCAATGTAGCGCTTTGTTGTTCTTTCCCAGTCTCACCTACTTTTTCCCCCTTTCTCTTCTTGAACAGACAACCGCCGTGCAGTCCTCGAAAGGTCTCGCTCACGCCACAACCCAAATCACCAAGCTCGATGATTACCCGTGTCTACTACAAGACCTTAGATAAGTGCCAAAGAGGACTGCGATGAGGACAAGGCGATAGGGAAGACATTGGGAGGGACACACCGCCCCTCACTGTTGCTACCAGAGCACCAAGTATGGAAAACTGCCTACAGAAAGAAACAACTGGACATTTAGATTTTATTTGACTCCCTACATATTTATTCTTTATTTTTTTTTTACTGCTTAAAATGTTTCTTTTTGATTTGGAACATGTTTAAAAAGCTGTTTCCTTCCATGTTTAAACCTATATTTTAATCCAAATGCTTCAGTTAACTCAAAATGCAGACAGGAAACAGGCAAATATATCGCAGTCTGCTACAGAGGGACATTCTGCCAAGAGGGACTACTGTATCCAGCATGCTTGTCTGGAAGACCATGGACAGCTGTCACAAAAATGGAGGACACATCAATGGGTCTTAATGAAGAGGAGGGCAGTGAAATATTATTTCCCTGTCATATTTAAGGTAATCTGTTCAATAATAATCACATTTTATCTCTCTAACAAAGCCACAAGAGCTGGCGGCTTTCTGCACCAGTATCACAGAGCAGGTGACTCATGGACTTTTAAAATGCAAGACATTTTAACTGATGAGATTTTGTGTTGTGTTGCATAATCTCATCTTACCCTTCAGGTGCTGATTTGTTTCCTGAGGTTGCTGTGGCTGTTACAATTAGAAGCTGACATTTTTAAATACACCCAGCTGCCTGGGATCAACCATGAACATTTGAACCTTTCTTCAGGTCATGCAGGGTTTCAGCAAGGCAGACCTCCATGTACTAAAGTTTTTACACCATTTTTAAGGCACATTTTGAAAACCAACACAGTCCAATATGGTATAAGCCTAATGTCACATAAAAACATCGAGCTTATGTAAAATAAGCTTTATGAAAACAATAATTGTTTTAGGATTTAGCAAGGTTGGATAATCCAGCAGGTTCTGCAAAATTCTAATTGTCTAACTACACTGCTGATTAGAGACACAGATTCTTCTACAAATTAGCAGATCATGCTGAGAACAACAGTTTTCCTTTTAGAAGTTGTTACTTAATGAAGAAGACTCAGAGTTTGCCATTCTCACTGAAACTTGCTGTGTTTTATAATGAAGTGAAAAGAAGGTGCAAGAAATGTTAAAGGACATTTAATTTTCTACAAGGTATATCAACAGATTATAGGACTTATGCATTTCTTTCTTTAAATAATACTGAAATCCTGTTTAACTGCAAAACTTTTTAACTCCGGCTTACCTCACTCCTTTTGTGTTGCAACACAAACGTAAAGAAAGAAAGGCTCCTGTAAAGATTTCAAATAGATAGTTTTTCACAGGTTTAATTTGTTGCATTTTATTCATTTTTTATTGTTCTGTAATGTTAAAACAACATTATTGTCCTAAGTATGAACAAATTTAAGCCTGAGTTTGAGCCTCGGAACAGTAAGCTCTGGGTAGTCTGCATCAATGCACCACATCCAGCCCTGGCATAGGTACGTTCATACAGTACCCTGGGTATTTCTTTGTCAGGTAGAAAACTTCTAGTTATATTAGATTTTTGTTTTACAAATTAACAATCTATCCTGTCAACCTTCTGCTATTTCTTAAAGCATAAAATAAATGTTATTGTTGTTTTAGGGAACTGAGAGGCACCACAGAAATTAAACTAAACCATAAACATCTATTCTAACACTGAAAAACAGACAAACCTACTGCGTTGGTTGTTGATGCTGTTTCTAATATTACATCTGAAGTTAACGGATTTTGTTGAAATTTTTGTGTACTTAACCCGGAGTTGGATCATAAATGAACTCTGTTACCATTATGTGGGCCAGAAAATGGAAAGTTTGGAAACCTCTGGTCTAGAGAATCACACACTAGTCTTACTTTGTTCTCTTTCTGAGAAATATTTGTTCAATTTATTACTCTTAAAAAGAATTAAGAATTATTAGATTGATGCCTTACAAAAATCCATCAGCTTATTGCTACTTCTAAGGGATCTGTGACACCATAAAAGCTTTAATCTTGGAGCCAGCGTCTTATCACTGGTTGATTTCACTGCAAGGACCCACTTTTACTTTTTAATGTAAACTATTTATTCATATATTCATGCTAAGGGTGGCTTTGTCCCTCCTCACTTCACTAGACTGTAAGCAGATGCTACTAAAAACAACCATTAAATCTACATGGAGATGGGGCATGACCAGAATTACAGACTGAGGGCCACAGCAGGCTGGATGATGCTTGTCTTAGCAAGCAGGTCTCCAGACACCTTCCAGTTCCCAAGCACTAATGACATAAGTGACCCTTTTTCCATGACACAAGTTACTTTAGAAGCAGCATAACTTTGCTTTGGGCTTTGTGTGTCTGCACGCCTCATGCCACCTCAGTAATCCAAACAGGAACCCAGGGAAAATAGGATTCAGTGGGCTTGACTCCTGCGCTGAATAGATGAAGATTTTTCATTTAAACAATCTGCCAGGGCTGCTTGTGATGCGCCTGTTTCATGGAGCCTCCCCTCCCTTTTGCCTGCATGCAACAAAAAAAAAATGCAATTTTACACATCATCTCGGTTCGAGGTGCGCGCCCACAACGCTTCGAGAAGTCTGCATATTTAAGAAGACAATAACTCTCGGCTGAATATCAGGTTAAAGCCGTCACAGAGTGAAAGCCTCGAGAATGAGTTTTCTGGATAAGGGACTCTGCGTTGGTGGCAGTTTTGAGGGCGTGTTGTACACAGCAGTGATAAAGATGCATTGTCAAAAAAGTGATTTCCTCTCTGTAATCGCTTCTCCCCCTTTGTTCTTCAAAACACCAGATCTGCGCAATTTTAAGCTTTGAATGACACCAGTTTTTTAAATCACAGTCCTCCAGCAACACACAGGTCTGCTATGATATGAGGTATTTACCTGCCTAAACAAGCCACATTTGGATTATTCAATAAAAAAAAGACTTACAGCTTAATTAACCCTTCAAGTGTACAAACATCTTAAAAAAAATCTTATTTTGGTCGATATTGATGACCAGTTTTTTTAAGTAGAGGACTTATTGTGATCATAAGTTATGTATTTATCATCTAAAAGTTTTTTTTTTCAAGCAAGTAGTAAATAGGAATTGTAGACATTTGCTGCAACAATACAGGTTGAAAAATCAGAAGCCTCAAAGAGAAAAGGAAAATTTGACATGCAGGAGAGTAGAATTACGAACTTCTGATTAGAAGACTTGTACAAAGAACAAAACCCACAGTATCATAGTGATTGTTCTCTCCTCATCCCATTGTGTCAAATGAAAATTGTGTGTTTTATAGGAAGTAATAGCAAGAGACTTTTAGGTCAACAAAACATAGACATGTGAAAAACAGCCAATCATTCCGCCATCTATATGCTTCTTACTAACAAACCTCAGCTGATGATGTAAACTACTGTGCCCTTAACTATTCCTACACATTCAGATTATTCACTTTTAAAACTACAGTATTCAGTGTTCTTTATTGGATTTTTTGATTAACCAACACAAATGAGTGCATGTGAATTTTCTATTTTAGAAATTAAAAAAAATAACTTTATTTAACGCCCCTAAAAAAAAAAAATTCCTTGCAACAAATTAACTTAAAGGCACACCTTGTTACTTTTGGCCACTAGCAGCATTAGACCGATACGTTTCACGTCTAGCACCCCTAATGGTCAAAAGCGCCGCAGCACTGTCATAAAAGTCAACAAACATTCAGCCGTCCCGCCTCCTGTGTCTTTTGATTGAGGCTTGGAGGGCGTGAGAATGCTGCTGCTCCCCGGATGGCACTGCCCGGGCAGGCCGAACCAGCACGGAGGACGAGTGGCAGAGCTACAGTAAAGAGCTACATCCATCTCAGCTGGCTACTGTTTGTATCCTGCTCTCTCTGCCCGTATTCTGCTAAACAAAGAAAATGATAACAAAGATTTTTCCTTGCCTCAGCCATGACCAGTAGTCGAGCAGGCAAAAAAATAATAGAGAAAAGCCTTAGCTCCGTGACCATAGAAGAGCCTGTGGCAGTAAAGAGATACATACTTCCAGGTCACATGACCTGGCCAACGACGGAGTATATTCTATGAACTTACATCTGTGGTCTTTCAAGAGGGGAGCCCTGCTCGTAACATTGACAGTGTCAAGCACTGTATGTTGGCCTGAGGAATCACTTTAAATAATTCATATGTATTAACATTTTAGGTCACAAAGTCTGCGGTGTGCCTTTAAGAAGTCCCCTAATTAGTAGATAACACACCAGAGAGGTCCTAAACACACCATCATTATCTTGAACCATAGTGGTAGCATCATACTTTGTGGACGGTTTTACTCAGAGTTGATAGGGAGGTGTGTGGATATCAATATCAATTCAGTGCGAGAGTAAAACATAAGAGCTGAAATAGAGTTAAAACTAGTGTTGAACTGATACCGATACCAGTATCGGGCAGGGCCCTGATCCAGCTCTAAAATGTTGGTATCTGTGTCAGCGAGTACCAACAAATACGGCACTGAAACCATTTTGAGAGCCAAAAGTTTATTCAACTATTGTCACCCATTCCAGGTAGGCAATAAAAAGTTCTACTGGATTCACTTTTTTAAAGTCTTTTACCTGCTTCACAAAGGTAGGCAGCAGCTTGACAAGGCCATAATGGCAATTATTTTACATCCAAGTAGTACACAGTTCTTCGTATATACACACACATCAATTTCAAACACATGGCATCGGTATGGTATCGGCCAATACTGCACAGCTAGGTATCCGGTATCGGTATCGCGGACAAAAATGGCATTGGCGCAACACTAGTTAAAATTGAAGCTTAAAGTAATGTATCAGCTTTTGCACAACTACTTTGTGTTGGTCAATCATGTTAATCATTATAACATGCTTGTTATATTATGTTTGTTCTAAGGTGATAAACTGTAGAGAAGTTCAAGGGGCAGAATATTTTTTACAAGTCACTGTGTGCTCATGTAAATCATGCAAGCAAGGAGGCAGGGGTATGAAGTGCAAAGGTGCCCTTTCTTCCGTGCTTAGGGTACATTTTTCAGACGTATCATTCACTGTCCACGCACTTTACAAGATATTCTGCTCAGACAAAAGAAAGATTTGTTCCAAGATTTGTAAAAGCAACTTTACAACTAACAGAGTGAACTATTTGCACAGCATGTCTGGTAAACAGTTGCCAGTTGCTACATATCCACTTCTTCCTATTTTGATGAAGTTCTGCTGGGGCTGAATAAACATGCTAAGCTTATTTTTGTTGACAAACCCTGTCTGACCATGATGTGTAAGCCACCATATCCCTGCCTGCCTTCTTTTTATCTGTCACCCAGTATGTTAAACTGTCTTAAGATACATTTATATTTTTAACATTTTAAGGTTATTTGTATGCTTAGCAACACGGGGTAAAAAAAAACAAAATGGTTATGAAGACTGTCCTTCCATAGAATATTGAATGGAGAATGGTACTAAATTATAACCACTTTGTTACATAAACTGATTTTTGAAAACAACAGTGTCTCTGTTTTGTTTTTTTTTATACTGAGCAACAGTTCTTTTTAAAGTTCTGTTGAACATGAATATCTAGTGCTTGGAGAAAGAAACCTAACGTTGATCCATCCATCCATTTTCCGTCACGCTAATCCCAAGCAGGGTCACAAGGGGTGTTGGTGCCATTCTCTAGCTTTCTAGGGGCGAGAGGCGGGGTACACATTGGAAAGGTTGCCAGTCCATCGCAGGGCAACACAGAGAAAAACACACAACTACGGATAATTTAGAGAAGCCAATTAATTTAACAGATTGTGGGAGGAAGCCAGAGTACCTGGAGAGAAACCACGCCTGCACAGGGAGACATGCAAACTCCATGCAGGTAGACCCCGGGCTGGAAATCAAATCCGGAACCTTCTTGCTGCAAGGCAGCAGTACTACACACTGCTCCACTGTGCAGGCCGAAACCCAACATGAAAACCAAAAATAACCTTATATGGTGGTGAAAAAAAAATATTTTAATCAACTTGTTAAAAAGGCCAAAGGTCATGAGAAAATGTAAGACCCTCAAACAACATTTAACACAGAAAGTAAAGTAAAAATATTTCATAGTGCAGTTAGGGTACTTCTACCAGATGCAAGTGACAGGAAACAGATTATATAAACATTAATAGATACAGTAGTTTGTCAAAGAGAGGCTCTTTATTGGAGCAAATTTACTCAATTTAAAGAAAGATCATACTTGTGTGGGCGATGCTACAGTTGCATCACAACTAATTTCTGCCAGCTGAGCTATGGCTATAGATTATAATAATACTTCATTACTCATAATATCAAATCAAGATGTAAGTGGTTTCTTTAAACATTTTTATTAATATTAACCACTTAAAAATTAGAGCTACATTCAAAAAACTATACATCCAAATATGTACATTTTCAAACAGAAGATCAGCAGCAGTCTGAGATTACGTGCCTTGCTCTAAAGCACAATGGCATGTAGCAGAAAGAAGTTTGAACTGAACCCCCAGCCATGAAAGCCAACTATTCTTCCAATTAGGCCACACTTACAAATACCATTCACTGCACAGGAAGGTGGGAATTAATAAAATGTTTTACTTTCAGACTACTAAGTAATTTAGCTGTTGTTTAATTTAGTTTCTGAATTCTGAATATTATCCCTAAAACTGGCTAAGCCTAGTAAACATGTTGGGTTATTTGTTCAGCTAAAGATGGGTAAGATACAATTTCTGTTTTGATGTTTTTTTTCTCAAGGTTTTCATAACCCTTCATACCTGGCTAAAAATGCAATGATAATACCGTATAAGAGAGCAAAAGCATCCAAAGTCTTCCCAAAGGTTTTCACAGCTTTTGTCACATTCCAAACTAATCTAAATGTTTGTTATTCTTATTTTACCTAATAAATCTGCTGTATATATTTTATGTTAAATGTAAAGAATACTTATAAAAACATACTGAAAACTGTAGTGGGCACAGATATTCAATTACATTCACTATGGATCTCATAAAAGATTGAATTGTAACCAATGACTTTTCTAAGTGTCACATGATTTTCCAGCATAAATACACCTGAAAAGGCTTATTACTGAAACACTCCCAACACCAAGGAGTCTATTAGGGGTTACAAAAAATAAAATTACATGGTACCACAAACAATATGCAAAACATATGAAGACCAACCAAAACTCATACTAGTCAAGAAGGGCAATCACCAGAGACTGCACAGAGACCACTTTGAAACTTCGAAAAGTTCAATAGTTCAGCAGCAGAGATCTGATTATCTGTCCATATGGCCAGAATAAAGTTTACACTTCACAAAGCTGGGCTTGTTGGAAGAGTGGACAGAAAATTGTCCTAACGTTCTAAAATTTTGCATTAATTTGTACTAAAATAAGAAGCCATGTCTTGAGTTTGATAAAGGCTTATTTGCGACTTCCCAAATGTAGGAAAGAAGGTGCTCTGTTCAGATTAACCAAAGCAGCACACTGCAAGACTGAATTTCTTTGGTACCCAAAGAAAATCTATGTCTAGCACAAACCTAATACCGTATTTTCACGACCATAAGGCGCACCGGACTAAAAGGCGCACTCTCAGTTATGTGTCCCATTTCTGTATTTAACACACACATAAGGCGCACCGGACTATAGGGCGCGTTTTTTATATACAGGTACATGCCCTCTACTACCTTTAAATACCTCTACTGCGTATTTAAAAATACAGCGGGGGCAAAACTGAGTATGACTGTGCTTTATTCATGTATTTATTACAAAGTATTAATCAAACCTGGCAGCTGGCCGTGAGACAGACACATCGCAGATGACACAGCGCTGTGATCACTCCTAAATTAACTTAAAATCCTGAAACCTGCCGACGGAATATGTTCGCTTTTATTACCGGTATCCTGGTGCCTGCAGCTAAAATTATTTAGATGAAAAACACCTGCCAGCAGCCGCGGTGAACGAAAGGATTTCTCCTGTCGGTGCACCGCTGGTATGTGGGGGTCTGAGCGCCTCCGACAGAAATAGATAATCTGGATGAACTGACTGCAATTATGAAGTTTTCAGGTGGACTTTCTCACTTAAAAACATATTAAAACTACTTTATTCCCACTGATCACAGCAAATAGCTGCAAGATTTAGATTATTTAGATGAAAAAACACCTGCCAGCCACCGCGCTGAAGAGGAGGAGACGCGCCCAGAGGCTGCTGTTGAATTAAGTTTTCAGGTAGAAAAATAGAGTGGGAGCAAAACTGAGTATGATTGTGCTTTATTCATGTATTTATTACAAAGTATTAATCAAACCCATCAAAGTCATCATCCTCTGTTATCCTCAGCATTCCTCTGAATAAAACAGCTGCGCTAAATCAGACATGCCAGTTTCCCCTTCTGCGCTGTCAGTCACTTTCCGTGCAGCGCAGCTCCTCAGAAATAATGCCGGCTTTTGCAAAAGCTTGAACAACAGAGCCAGCAGACACAGTCCATCTACAATCCATCCGCAAACGGTGGCGTAACTTGCCCGGCGCTGCCTTCCATTTATCATGA